GGAGAGGCTCTGGTGCTGCGCCAGCGTGGTGAAGCCGAAGTTCTTGGTGCAGAAGAAGAGCAGTGTGTTGAGCAGCACTATGGGGGAGTAGGTGCCCAGCTGCTTGCACTCCCACAGGTAGGACTCCAACACACGGGAGGAAGCAGCACCGCCTTGAGGAGGAGAGAGGGAGCAGGGAAGGAGCTGAGACTCAAAGTGCCCATAGCAGGCGTTCACTGGTCAACCTGTTCAGAATGCCTCCACGCATATACTGTGATAGGTTTCAACATGACTGGGACAGAATGAATGAGTGATAAGTGATTTTATATGAATGAATAATGATAGTTAAATATATTAAAATCATAACTGCATAACTAAAGTAGGTTGTGTATGATTAACTTCAGCTTTGTGGGGTCAACCTGGCATAATAGCTTCAAGTTTTGTTTTTGAAAAGGATAACCTTTGTTTTGGGATCTGACTATATGGCTTCGACATGTGCTGTGGAACAAAGAGAGTCAGGCCTTCCCTTTGCAAGCAAATGTTTCATCCTGATTGTAGTTTGAGCACCAAACCCCCAGCTCTGGAGAAATTCACATTAGGGTGTGAGTTTCCTCCCCCCAAACACTATGTGTTCCTGAAGTTACCTGAAAGCATGGCTGCAATCTAATTGGCCGAGAGCCGAAATAGAGTCTGGGCAGAGTTAGAGAGAGTTTATTTGTGTTTATTTTATCTTGTTTGTGTGCTTAAAGTACTGTTCATTTTTATAAGGTGGTGTATGCTTAATAATCGCCGACACTAACGGTCGCTGAGATCGTTGGGGTTGTGGAGAAGCTAGTGTATTTCATGCTACCGTGATCTGTGTTGAGCTAGCCGCCTAGTGAGGTCGAAGATGCTTCTCATCAGTTCAGGAGGTCAGAACCGCCGGCTGAGACAAAGAGTCGCGGTTCTTGCTCCCCTGGCTGAGAGAGCAATCTTCCGTACTCCAGCGCGGCGCGAAGGATCTTAATCTTTTGTTTTATTTCATTTCATTTTGTTCCTTTCCCTTCTCTTTCACTAATCCACACACATATAGCTTTGAACTAATCTAGCTACGTGCTAAACGGCTACCGGCACGTATAGACGCCAGGTCTCCTGTTGGCTATCCGCCATTTTTGAGTCTCACGCATGAGAGACGTCACCACGTCCCAACTACGTCATACGTTGCTGAGCTGTTCCCTCGCTCCTCCCCCTTACGCACACATACACACACGCACACACACTTCCCCCCCCTCTTTTCCATAGTCTGTTGATTTTAGATAGCGTGCTCATGAATGTATAGTTGTTGTTAGTTTAGATATTAGTTGACGAGATCATTAGTATTAGAACGTAATAAACTGTTATATTTTAAAGAGCAGCTGTCTGTGATTACTTTGTGCATGTGTATTGTGATAATAGCTGTATATGTGGTCTGTGCTTGAACTTAAACCTTCACTTTCACTCTGAATGTGTAATAGTACTCAGACTATTGACATTGTGAGTGAACACTAATTATGAGACTTAGTTTTATCGTTTGGTTATTGGTCCCTGTTCGCAGGGTGGTTCCCTGTTATTATTAATAATCATTAATAATTGTTACTGACATTAATAATTCTATTGATGTCAAGAATTTAGTTTCTTAGATGCTGATAACCCAAACACGCTCCTTTAGGTTCCCAACATATTGGTGCCCCCTTTTTGAGGCTATGTTATTCCCAACATTTGTAAGGTTTTGAGACATCCTGTTACATTAAAGCAGCATTAACAGATTATTTTTGTTGGCCACTTGGGAGCAGCGGAACAAGCCGTAAACGCAACACTGAAATGTTATAGACTTATAAAATTGATATGTTGAACCTGTTAGCAAAGTGTTGCCTCATTAAACGTTCGACCCATTGTTAGAGTTATTCCGGTACCGACACCGATGCCTCCGATGCAGCCTGAAATGTATGGGTCAGGTATCGGCGAATCCGCGAGTCTACGCACGGATCCGATATCTCATTATCAAACCATTTTATCATTTAACAGCTCATTTACGCTACACAGGAAAAACAACACGTGTCACTTCCTACTCAATCCGTACATCCTGGCCTATCGGTACTGCACACGTTTAAACTAGTTCTACACACCCTTGCTCAAACACTCTCGTTCACCCGATTATTTGACCTGATGATGCTACATTGTAAACAAAACATCCAAGTTGAAATGTGCAGGAGGAAAGCTAGTTAACATTAACTGTTAGCAGCACTCGTATTGGATTGGTACTCAGTATCCACCGATATGCAAGTTAAGATATCAAATTCTGTATTGGGAAGGAGAAAATGGTATCAGAACATCTCTACCCATTGTTATAAAAATATAGATCAGTGCAACAAAAGTTATAAGTGATCTGAATCCATCACGGGAATGTCGGACTCCGCCACAATCAATTAAAACTAGAGAGGTCATTATTTAAAGAAAATAGACTGAATTGATATTGCAGAAAAAGTCAAACAATAAACAGTTTTACAGTTTGGGTGTAATGCAATGAAAATCTGAAGGATTATGACTTTATGTCAGTGATCGTACCGCTGGGTAGTAGTGTAGGTTTCCATAGTGACAGCATCCCGCTGATCTTGGTAGCAAAGTGACTGTACAGCTCGTCTGTAAAGATGTTCTCTATGCGGCCCTTCATGAACAGATACTGTCCAAAGAGAGGGAGACGGAAAAGAAGGCATAAGAAACACACTAAAGGAATGAAGGTGTAAACCAGTGACAGAGTGTGTGTGTGTGTGTGTGTGTGTGTGTGTGTGTGTGTGTGTGTGTGTACCTGCTGTATCCCCAGACAGAGGTAGAAGATGCTGTCTGAGCTGTAGGTCTCTCCATTGGGCCGTCTCACATCTCTGATGAAGTGAGACAGAGCAAAGCTCAGCTCAGCAGAGTCACACTGAAGAACGTCTTCTTTAATATCCACTAGATTAGCCACAGGGGGAGGAGACCAAAAAACACAGTATGGAATAACACAGGTTACTATAGTAGAGATCCAACTGGAATGTAAAGAGAACTGAGGCTCACATTCTCTAGGGTGTTTGTTCTGCTGTTGGACCCAACACCTCCAGGCTTTAACCCCGTACAGGTGGTTCAGTTTGGAGGCTGCTGGAGTCACCACTGCGCTGCGGTTCAACGCAACAGTTCGTCTTCGACCCTGGGTGGATGGAAATGCAAATGAACATTGGGCAGTGTGGGAAATGGTTGATGCAACTGAAAGGTTGACTGTGAGTTGCACGTTAGTTAGGCTAAAGTTGGGTGTATTTGAAAACCTTGAAAACAAGTTCCCTGCAGCGAGAGAATCACAGAGCAGCCTGCAAGACAACTCGTTTGCCTACTAACTTAAGTCAGTAGAATGAAAGGTTATAAATCAGAGGCTGATAACATGCATGAATGAATGAAATACTGCTGAACTATCGGGGGAGTCATACCCGTTTCCGGCTGGAGTAACCTTCTCTTGGTCTCTTCACGCCTCTCTGTGGAGCAGACGACTTCTGATCCAACGATTCTGCAAAAAAACACACACAGTTGTAGGTTTGGGGTGCACTTTAGGGTATAAGCAAGTCCTTAGAAATAAAAAATGTTGCTTATCCATTTTCTAAGTCAGATGAAAACTGTTTTTTCTCCTTATAATGTAAGAACAGGTGAAAAGATTTAGGTTTGTCCAGGACAATCTTTCTGAGTCCCTCCATTTTGTTTCTCATCTGTGAAACAGATGGGAACATTTCAGGTGGAAACACATTTTTTGTAAGATAATTAAGAAAGTACTATTTTATTAATTTCACCTGTCAAAATGTCTTTAATTGAGTTTATTGTTGTTATACTCATTTCGGGCCACAAAATGCTGAAGTTCTAAATAGGACTAAAAACATTCATGTTTTCTTCCAGGTGAGTTTGTGTGTCAGCATTTATGTAAATTAAAACTGGAAGAAAACATAAATGTTTTGAGTTCTTTTTATGTCATGCAGTAGTGGTGCACTTCAGACTCTTGTGGAATGAGTATTACAACAATAACAATGTTTCCCACCAGTTTTAACTTAGAAAGATTATCCCGGCCTAACTAAACACAGGAGAGAAAACAAATCAGACCAGACTTAGAAATCAGCTTTTTTTCTCCCTCAAGGCTTCTATAAGTAAGATGACATCTCACCATTCGGGATGTCAGTCTCCAAGTCCATCATTGGAGAGGAGGGAGGTTGAGGCTCAGCACTGGTGGATGGTGGGTCGCTTGTCGTCGTGGTCCCCTCTGGTTCGGTATTAGGTTGGGGATCAGTTGATTCTGTGATGCTCTCTGCACTTACAGTAAGTGGCAGGACGGCCTGTACTGCATTTTCAGTCTCCTCATCTTCACGGATTATGGAAGTGACTGCCTCTGACTTCCCGTCTCCATTAAAAGAACTGCTCTGGTCTGCAGCAACAACACAAAAACAGACATAGATGAGGTGAAATGTGGGTAGTTATGCTTTTGATATTTCAGTACTTGGGATTGATTAATGTAGCTAACATAACTCAACTTTTATACGACAAGAGAGCATAAAAAATCAGGACAATAAAGCGCCCTCACCTGCACTGGAAACGGGCCCATCTTTCTGTTTTTCTTCCTCCACAGCCATAGGCTCTGACTGGACAGCTGCATCTTTCATGTTCTTCTTCTGTGGTGGTACTACTATGGGTACAGGAACCTGTAGGAAACAGGAGAAACAAGTTTACATTGGATTTGCTGCAGGAAATACTCAACACAAGGCACATGAATAATTTTGAATTCATAGAATTACTGATGGGACGTACGGGAATGGGCATGGCCATTGGAACAGGTGTGTGCTGGGAGTACATGTTCATAGGCACTGGAATGAAGACCGGTACTGGGACTGGCACCATCAACACTTTCACATTCTGCTCCCCTGCAGAGAAGCTAACTGAGGGCAGAGTCAGAGCTGGAGGAGGGAGGGAGGAGGAAAAGAGAGGAGAGATCATGAAGAAGCGAGATCATGAAGAAGAGAGAAAGAGAGAGAGACGGGCAAGAGGAGAAAAGAAGGCAAAGAAACAACAAATGGACAGATTAGGCTCAAACATCCAACCGTCTCCAAAATATCAAAGTGAAAGAGAAATGACCTTTATATAAGAGGTAAATGAATTGGTGACAACTAAGATACGTACAGCTTTTATTGCAATACAATATATGATACTACTATATTCAGTCTTGGAGCTGCATCATTCTATGATGCAGAAATGAACAGAGCAGTTTCTGGGTCATTCTTAAATATAACTATTACAGTTGAGGGCAAGAAGACTTATTTTCATAAAAAGTATTTTAAAATACACGCATAAACACATTCATATTACTGATGGACAACATGATCGACACCACATTTTTATCATCACCACCACGCATGTTATTTTGACGTGAAAAATCACAATGAATATAAGACCATGGATCTCCAACAACTCAAAATGAATGAATGCAGTTGTGACTTATTGAAGCTAAAATGTTACACATAGAACCTGTAGCACAACATCAGTGGAGCAGGTCATGACTTCACTAATAACTGGATCTATGCAAAGGAATGTGCATCCAAACGCATCAACAGTTTCACTTTTCAAGGCACCTTTCATTTGGGGAACACATGACCTTAGACTTAAAAAGTGAAACTACTATCCTGAAGATCTGTTGACATATCAACAGACTCCAGATGTTTTGGAAGTCACAGCAGATCACAACTTATAAGCATCAAACTGATTTCATCATCATTCAATTGTCAACATATTTACCTGCCCCTCGTACTGTCTGATTGCAGCGTGCCGGTCCTTTAGTGTGCAGCAGCAGAGCTTTCCGTCACTGGAAACACCTTTATTTGAGAGTAAATCACCTCGGTCTGTGGCCATCTATTCTGGTGGTCATATGACCAGTGACACAGTACTTAGTACTTAAGACTAACTAAAACATATTTGCATGTATTTGTATCTATATTATAACAATGTATTAAATTTGTTATTAATTTTAGGCACTTTAGCAGCAAAAAAAAAAAAAAAAAAGAAGCTTGGCCGGTTTCCTCATCCGTCTGCAGACTGTGCGTCTGCTTGGAGAGTTCGGTTTTGTCTTTCTTACTTTGGGTCTCGCAGAGTTTATGTCTTGGATGCAGCCATGATTACAACTGACCGCAGCCTTTTGTAACACTGGGACAAATGATTTCAGAGGTGAGAGAGTTACTAAATAACGGCTACTTGATAGTTTGGTTTAGACTGTCAGGCAGGTAAAATCTGAGAAATATAACTCACACATCGAGACGAACAAAATTGTATTCACAAATTAAATTTATTGACCCATTTATTTGAGTTTTACGAAACCATCCACACGGTTCTTTTAAAAACAAACAATAAAAGGCAGCAATGCAACATGATGTCGCAATCCAATCCATGTCAGTGTCATCATAAAAATAAGGAACGATAAATAAAAACATGCCGTAACAGTGGCGAAGTTAAAAAACACCAACAACAGACAGTAGGCTGCAAAAGAAGTAAAAAGTAAACCATTTATTAGAGATGCACCACAGGGCTGGAATCAACTTAAGCGTCGCGCTGACTCGCTCCGACAGCAGACGGATGAATTGAAGTCAGCGTTGGTTCAAATGAATAGTGAGGTACAGCAAGGGATTTCATTTTGATACATACGTCACACATTCAAAAAATAAAACATAAAAATGTAGCTTAACAGTACAAATAAGGTAACTGAACATCAATGGAATGCAGTTTTCTTCACTCAGACACAAAAAATTCAAGTGATTGCGGATTTCAGCCTGGTGTGTACCAGCATCTTAAGCTATAGGTGGTGAATGTTACACCATCTCCTCTGGTCAACATGGCAGCACAAGTGAACCCAAACTAAATGACCTCCACCTAAGATCATCCGCTGGCTCTGGCTGCATTACAGAGCAACTGCTGCATTTCATTAAGCAGCCAGCATCTTTAAGTCTAGCTAATTGATCCTTAATGAGAGAATGAACTCTAGTATGGTGCCCGCCCTCTAGACAGAAGTTACTTAGTTCATCTATACTGCGGTTGAAGATCCCGTAAAAAAATGAGCCAGTTTTACAAGAACTTACAACACAAAGAACTCTTTAATACTGATTCAGTACTCGTGAGTGTTTCATCCAAAGTAGAAGCACATTTAGCAGCAGTTGCCTGGAGACGGCTCCATGAACCTGCATTTTCTTGTCGGGCACATTTTCACTTAAGAGTTTTAGCATAAATTGTTCCCTGTTGTAAATGGAATATGCTCAGGAGCTTTTTTTCAAAAACATATCAGAAGTTGGTTTACCTAAACAATGGTATCCCTTTCATGATAAACCTGTTCAGTGACGTACGGTGTTTTCCCCCCATGAGCTGCATCTGGGCGGGTAGGTAGGCACAAGTGACCTGAATAAATGTACGGATCAGGCTAAATACTGTAGGACAGGCATCACTACTGCTAGTGACACAACGCATGACTGTAATGTAAAGTGACATCACATCAAGGGATACGTTGGTGGTAAAAACAAGTGTGTGTGTGTATAAGAACGCAACATTAATAAAGTGACAGCACAGAACAGTTTACATAACACACACACAGGTGAAATGAATAAAACATCACAGTCACAAGTTTTAGGACACTTGGCAAATGTGCCATGATGTTCATGTCTCATGACACGAGGTATCTTTACCTGCATGTTACAGCACCGTGTTGTAGGCCAGGGAAGCACTTAAGGAAGTATGTCAATCTAAACCGTTAGTCCATAAGTTATAGATGACTTGCAGTACCGTCACACAAAATAAATACCCTTTGTAGGAAGACGATACACAAAGACAGCCTTGAGACCTGTTCTGTATAAATACTGCCATGTATATATATATATATATAAAACCTCCTTTAACTGAATCACTTCACTGCACCATCAGTTTGCAAATACACATCCATGTAACTGCTGAAACTGGTCTTCTGTGGTTACTGTCAATAAGTTAAACTAAAAAAGGAGGTTACGGTCACTAAAGTAGTGTAGGTGTGAACACAGCCGGTTAATCCTGTAGTTTAATCTTTGTCCGCGTTCGGGTAGAAGACAACTTCTCACGTCAGCAGGTCAGGAGGCTGTGGAGAGAAAAACTAGGGTGACAAACTCGACCCTCTTAACAAATCAGTTGAATTGACTTGGAAAAAGGACATAAATATCAACAGATCATACCAGTACATTGTTGTTTCTATGATTTTAACAGCATTAAAAGGGATAGTTTGGATTTTTTGAAGTAAGCTGCATGAGGTACTTAGATCCATAGTGTATTACCGACAGTAGATGGGGGGCAGGAGCAGGAGACGGGGGGCAGCAGCAGAATGTATTTTAGGAACCTAAAAATATGGATCTGTTTTAGTGTATGCTACATTTGCAATATTTTGCCTTGCCGTCAGTCCTTTCCAATGGAGGAATGAAGTGGTTTTATCGATTAACGCTCTCTTCAGTGTCAAGACTCCTTTGACAAAAGCAGTCATTTTACTTTGCAGAACACTGGAGTTGCTGGTCTACCGCTGCCTCGATAGGTAAGTTTGTGTGACTCCCCAAAGTGAATCAACCATCTGGCAGTGAATTCAAGATTCAATAACCATTTTTGTCAATGGAGTCTTGTGACATTAAAGAGAGCATACAGCTTCAATTGCCAGTCGCAAAGGGCTGTCTGATGGCAAAGTAATGCGTTGAAATTATTCTAAACTGATTGATTGTTTTTATGTGTCTGAAATACATTTAGCAGCTGCCCACGTCGACAGCAGAAAATTGCTTTGCTCCAGAGCTGGTTCTCCCCTCTGTTTCTCCAGACTGGGGGTGTCCCGACCGCCACCTACTAAAGGGAATAAACTGACTATGTTTAAGTACCGCATACAAGCCCACTTCCCAAAATTAAAAAAAAATAAAAAATCAAAAAACAAAAAAAATCAGGGATATCCCTTTAATTTAGTGACAGTTATCGCAATTTATATGCACTGCACACAAAAGAAGAATCCTAGTGGACAACAACTGTGGTAAAATGATACATTTAAAAAACTATTTCATGGTATATTAAAAGTGTTGCGTTATTCAGAAGGCTCACCTTGTGCTTCCAGTTCAGGAGATGTTTTGTAGATCAGTCTGGTGTGGTAGAGTTCAAAACAGGGCACAGGACAGAGGCTGGGCTCTCCTGAACACGTCTTACAGTAATACGGCGTCTGCCTCCTCATTGTCCCACACTTCAGCTCACAATGCTTTGTTTCCGAGTGCTCCCCCTCTTTGCTCTCCCCGTCCTTTGCCTCCTCCGACTCTTCTTCCGTTTTCCTCACTGGCTCCTCACCCTCCTCCGTCTTGGGCTTCTTCTTCTTTCCCCCCTGCTCCTCTTCCTCCACTCTCCTCCTCTTGTGTTGCGAGCAGACCTTGCATTCAGAGTCGGTCTCCCTCCTGGCCAGGAAATGGCGGCCGCTCAGGCGCGCTGGCACGCCGTTACGCGGCTCAGTTTCTCCCTGAGTTTCTCCCTGAGGTTTTGGTGATGGCGCTGGAGATGTGGATGTGGATGCTTCTGCGGATGGGTGGTCAGGTTGCGAGGAGCTATCTAGCAGAGCTGGTGCAATTATTGAAACAGCTAGTTGTGAAAAACGGATAATTGAATGAACCCAAAAAAAAATGAATGAAAATATATTAGATGGTGTGCAGGGTTGTGACAAACACCCTACAAAAGGCACACCGGCCATGGCCAGAAGGAAAATAAGCTACTTTAACAGTGCTATTAAAACTAGTTATTACATTATTATTAATGTTATTACGAATGTTTGCTGTGGGTATTGGCACTGACTGATACTGAGTTTGTAACTAAATGTAGCACTGTCAGTCTTGACCACTTTCATCTTTAACCATTTTTTAATTATCAAAATGTAGAATATTATCTTCGTCATGGCAGAAACGGTCAATATTAGCCCAGTATATCACAGTCTTTCTTGTATGGACTGTCAGAATAAAACAGCTCAATATCATATCCCACAAAGCAAGTTCAAAATGTTTCTTTGCTTTTGTGACGATTCATCTTCTTGATTCTAACCAACTTATCTGATATGTGTCATAGGACACATAGCAACTGCCTCGAAGTGAAACCTAACCCTTCAAAACTACGAGCTGTTTGGTTTGACCAATGCAACACAAGGAGATGTTTCTGAGAGATTTTTCACACACCAAGCAGGACTGAAGATTCAGCACCATCAGAGTGTGTAGAGACACAGGGAAAAACGTAGAAAAATTGTCTGCATGTCAACATTATCCCAAGATCAACTTTAAATAGTTAATGAATAAAGTTAAAGTTTCAAATGTCTGTCTGAACAGTGTGCAGTAAGTAGACGATATCCACACCTGGTATTTGGACACGGTAGTGCATTTTAAAGTCAAACTGCTGGATGGTTCACGCACCATGTGAAACTTGTGCACCTAAATCCGGCTGTGCAGCCCGTCTGAACAAGGTGGAACACGGCTGAACTACCCAACTTGTTTGAGTGGGGTTTTTTGTAGTTACCTGCTAAATCATCGAAGGGGGTGGGCAGCTGGCACATGCTCTCTTGGTCCATGGTGAAGGGCCGACACAGAACCGACTTATTCTTCATTTGACGGCGACGGGGCATTGGCACTCGCATGGCATCAGTCTGAGTACTGGCCTGGAAACAGACATCAAAAAGAAACTAAGTAGATCTGATCTGGTTCTTAATCAGAAATATGCTGCATTAGATTGTGTCTTATATCTGAACAGTTCTCATATCCTATTATAACATTTAAAAACTCATTTTTGAGTGAAGACCTACAGTTGGATGTTAAGTCTAACCAGAAACAAACACACAAACAAACACACACACACACACACACACACACACACACACACACACACACACACGTACATGGTCTAGGTTCTTGCCATCAACGTTGGAGGTCGGAAGTGCTCCTAGACAAGAGGAATAAAAACAGCACTGCATTAAACCCCCCACTGTGAGTAGTGCATACCATAAATGTAGAGAAACAATCGACTGATATAACTAACCAGTAAGAGCAGTATCTGCTGACACACTGGGCTGAGAGGCAGAGCCGTTGGCCAGTGACACGACATCAGCGATGACGGGATTCATCTTTGAGGAATGGTGGGGCTGTGTTGGAGCTGGATGAGGAGAGAAACATACCGAGGTTAGAACACTTTTGGTACTTTACCATGTGAGATTACTGCTTTTTTAAAAATCTTTTCCTCCATCCTCTTCTCACTGGTGCCAGTGAATCTATTTATCGGGCTTTGATAGGTTTTAAATCAGAATCGGACTGCAGTTGGTGTTTTTTTTTGGCTGCTGACAATCAAATTAATCAAACCACCACCACATTTTATCCCATTAGACATTTGTCTGAAATTGTCATTACAAGCATATGAATTATTGAGTTAGGGTCACGTTGACCTCTAATCCGTTCAACCTTCCAACCAAATTTGGAGAAATTCCTTCCTGAGATATCGCTTTCAAGAGCATGGGCCGTACGGATTGACGTACCTACGTATGTACATGTACGGCAGGTACACTGCTACTCAACATCATACTGTACAACACCGATGCAGTAACACAATTTACCAAACGGTGTTTGTGGGGCCGTTCCAGTACCGTTACTGCTGGTGTGCTGGCTCGTCTCAAAATGCAGGTAGCAGTACTGCAGTAGGCAGGGCAGGTTGCAGAAATTACGGACTGAACCCAAACACTGCAGCTTCTCAGCCATATAGCCCTGTTTCCGACAACCATCACATCGACCCATCTGGACGGGAGAGGAAGAGCAAGAGGGAAGGAAAGAGAAGATGTAGAAAGAACAAAACAACCACACAGTACGGCAGTCCCCTTGGTTCAATGGCTATCAATGTACAGTGGAATGGGACACCTGTCTCCTTACCCCATAGTAGAGCACAGTGTACTGGGACATGCAGTGGGGTCTACAGAACTCCTCCATCCTGCCTCCGTAGTGGCTGTGCAGCATCTTCTGGTTGATGCCGGAGCAGTAGGTGCAGGGACGCCAAGGATGATCCTTGTTACGGGATGTCAGGTCGTGTTTGAAAAGTTGCTTACAGCCTGGAACAGAGGAAGGATGGGCCTTATATTAATGAAATTACAGTAGTAAGAATACACATTTCAGCCCACAAGTCCAATGACACTGAATAAACGTGTTATTTAGATGCAGGTTTATTATTCATCTAAAAAAGAATGGAGGGTCAGAGTGTCAGTTTGTCGTAATTAGTTTTGCAAAGATTGGAACCACTAGCATTATCAGACATTCTGCATTTTCAATAATACAATTAAATAAGCAGATTTTTTTGAAGTGGGTTGCATGAGGTGATGAGGTAGATGGTGGTTGGTCCAGTTTAGAGAACCAGGCAGGAGAACCAGCACGGGAGCAAAGCAATGTACTGCTGTAGAAGCTGCTTTAGCTCGTCACTTATTGTTATTACCTCCACAAGGAGGATAATGCGATCAGAAGAGTGTGTGCGCGTGTGTTCTTCTGTGATTGAGTGTCCACTGCTGATCTCGCATTCTGCTGCAGCAAACTGCATCATTTTTGGGGTGCCCAGTTATAGCTGCGTGCGCAAGGGCTTCTCAAGGTTGCGGTGTCTCACTTTCTCAAACACATTTCACTGCCCGTTTTATAATCGACTGCCTCAGCGTCGGAAATACACGAGGGCAAAGGGCAAAACTGCCCCTAAGAAATATCATTTTGCCCCTGATATCACTAGGAGAGGGGCAAAAAATGCCCCCGAACTTTCTAAACAAATAAAAAAAATGGAGCACTTCTTAAATCAGACCTGTGACTGCGAGACTGCGGTCCACTCAGCAGACACTTACATGTTAGTGAACCTATATGCTGAAATTCACGGTAAACTCATTCAAACGGCACAGATCGGGAGCGAGCGAAGGACGTTGAACGTTAACGGAAAGATTAACGTGAGACAACATCCGGTTTCTTCAGACGAACATCCGGTTTTCAGAATAAGATGCCAACAAAGTATACATATTGCATAATGGAAATTTGATTAAATTAATTATATTCACATTAAGTATAAAACATGCTACCTGCATCTCCTGAGTTAAAGGGAAAATACACCTAAATTGTGCGTAAAGTGTCTTTATTCTTTGATTTGAGGGTTGCTGGAAATGAATAATACCTGACTGACAATTAAGTCAATTAAGATATTTTACTGAGTAAAAACTGAACTGAATTTGTACCTTCAAATGGCACATTTTTTAAATTTTTAAGGTGCTTCTCAATAATTCCATACAATGACTGATGTATATGTAATCAAGGCATTGTTGACTTAATAATTGTTAATAGTTGTTTAACAATAGTTGTTTAAAATTTAATAACAACAATAAATAACCACAAAGAAATAAGAATAAAATTGAATATGATTGTCTGATTTACATTTGTTTTTTGTTAAAAAAAAAAATCTAAGAAAACACTTTGAATCTGTAGACTACTGCTAATAGTCTTATTATTGCCATTTGATGACAATTGCTCATATACTGTAAGCCTAAATAAGTATATTTATTATTTTGAACAAAGGTTAAATGTTATTTCACAAGTTTCAAAAAGTGCCCCCAATTTTTTGAAAATTCCCCTGGATTTCAGTCAGTGGGGGCAAAAGTTGCCCCCAAATAAATATGTAAATTTCCTACCCTGGACTGCCTGCTGACTCACTAATCTTAGCGAGCGGCAGGTGCCGCTAGCGATGACACAGCTGAGTACATCTTAAATATTCCCCATCCACTACTCTGCGCCCAGAGACACAGTGGGGGAAACATTACTGTGTTTGACTAACAGCTAACGGAACTACCAGTACACACACACACACACATACTACTGTACCTTGACGCAACTCAGCTCCGCAGGCAGACAGCTGAGTGAGTTTCACTTTGTTTAGGCGACAGTGTGTGATGTGTCTTATTCAACGACTTTGAGCAGATTGCCTGCATACGTCGCCGCTTGTTTTTAAGTTTGAATGAAGTGTGTTTTACGGCGCCTTACAGGCAACTGGTGTCTAGACGGGGGGGGGGTTAGCCATTTGTAGGCTGTACTCGTTCAATCACACAATACAGCAGTGGTCGTTGCAGACACAGTTCATCTACTCAGTGCACCTTTCTAGTTTGTGTTGCTGTGTGACTTTTGGGTTTTAAAAGGGTTAGTTAGGATTCACCAAAGTCACCCCAAATCACAAACAACCAAACTGAGTTCCTGTGCTCTGCGAGGTAAAATCGCTGTGTTTTGTCAATGGAGTCTTGTAGCTTTCAAGAGACCATAGATGGATATAGAAGCTTCAGTTCCCCGTGGGAACGGGTGAAAATATTATAAATATAGCGCACACTTGAACTGATATTGATTTTTTTAGGTGCCTAAAATACGTTTTGCTGCTTCCTGCCCACAGAAGTACTTTAGTTAGCCTTTATTTAATTTAATTTAATATACTATATTGATCCCTTTAAGGGGGAAATTTGTCTCTGCATTTGACCCATCCCTGTATATAGGGAGCAGTGGGCTGCCAATGACAGGCGCCCGGGGAGCCAGGGGTTCAGTGTATTGCTCAGGTACACTTCGACACGTGACACGTCCCAGTCGAGGATCGAACCAGACAACCCTCTTAACCCAGTGAGCCACGGTCGCCCCTAAATGCTGGTATTATGCTGGTATTCCTCTCCGTTTCTCCAAACCGGGGGCGTGTCGACCGCCATTTACTGCAAGTAATACACCGTCGATGGAGAAGTACCTCATACAAGGCTATAATTCTTCCACAGAAGTGTCAGGAATAACGATGTAGTCTAAAGGAGCAAAACCAGGTCTACTCACTTTCACCGCAGAAGATCAGGTCCTGTTGGTTATAGCTGATGGTGTCAAAGAGCACTTTCTCCTGTTTACAGAACTCGCACACAATCAGGATATTCTTCTGGGTTTTATACTGCTCACAGCACGTCCCACTGCAGAACATAGAAATATGACCCTGAAAGAAAACATTATCAGGGTTAGTTGATGAGAGTTACATTCATCATGCATAAGGGTTAGGGTTAAGTATCCGTATATACTTAAGAGTCAGCATGGGAGCTGTGTTCCTTACTTGGTGACTGAGTAGCAGCGGCTTCATGTTGAACCGTTTGCTGCACTGATGGCAGGTCAGCTTAGAGGTGTCACTGGGTCCGCCCTCTGCTGGTTTCAGGGGCTGACCAGCAGGTGCTCTGGCCTGGGCTTGCCCTGGGACAGGGGGGGAGGACATGGCTGGGTAGGGAGGCGCCAGTGGGGGCACTGAGGTATGACTGGGATGGTGGCTCTGGTAGGGGACTGAAGATGGGTGGTCCTGAGGGATGGGAGGGACTGAGCTGACTCCTACAGAGGGCCCTGGTTTTGGGGCATCTCTGAGGGAGGGGTCCCTGAGAACGGAGGTTCCATTGATAAGGTCTGGCTGAGAGGTGGCCCCGGACTTCTGTGAGGACGAGGCGAGAAAAATAACAGCAATGTCAAACCCACAAGATGACAAGGCTTAGACCGACAGATGTTCCATCAACATTTGTTGGATACAAAAAAAGTTGGTATACTGTTGGTGCCTTTACCCTGTATACGGAAACACAGTCATAGGAGCAGAAGTTACGAATGGTGCCGTCCACCATGGCCAGATGATACTGAGGAACAGCTGACACCTTGCACAGGCAGCAGGGGAATGCAGCACCTACGGTGAAAAGGGTCAAATAAAAAGTAAAGTAAGATAAAACTTTATTCACCTTGAGGGGAATTGTTGTGCAGTAGTTGCAATATAAGGTAGGAAAGAGTGCAAATAATAAATATATACAGTCTCAGATAACAAGGTGCAAATGGAAAATACATACTAAATAAAGTAAGTTGGCACCTGTAATGTTTTGAATTCAATAAATCCTTAATATTAGTACATTTATCATGAACCAGGAAGGAGACTGTTGTGGCATGTACCATCTAAACTTGGCACCAGGGTTCATACACATTTTGACCAATGGATTTCCATGACTTTTCCATGACTTTAAACCAAATTTCCATGACCAAACATTTTGTGAAATCTCGGTGTATACATGAAAAAGTGAGAAAATGTAGTATTTAAACTAACAATGACAATTCCAAAGCATACAGTATACCTTAAATGACACAAACGAATGAGAGACAATAGTTTGATTAAAAGAATAAACATTTATAAATATACTCTGGTTGACACCGACACATCCATAAGAGCTTTAGTAGGTAGTAGCATCCAGCTAGTGCACATATTGCTTTCCCTTTTGTAGTGCAAATGTTTCATTGAACCCTGTTACTGTATGGCCTAATATTAACTTCCACTGTTACTGTACAGCTGTTGGAACTGTGGCCTATCTTCTATTTGCAATTAATATGCATTCAATCCAGTTACATTATTTAAATGAAAATGATAATCTACTCTGGCTATGGTAGTTTATCAAGAGTAAAATAATAGCTGTGATCTATACACACCTCTGCATTAGTAACCTGCTGAAATGAAGGTACAGGCACCTTAACCCTCATTACTTCAGGGTTCTTGGGAGCAACGTGGGACTGTTGTGACTGTTAGTACACTGGCTGTGGTCATTACAGTGAACAGTGTGTACAGTGTGATGAGAGGGCATGCGACCCATGTTGCTGTAGTTCATCTCCTCAGAGCAGAGGCTGCATTTAGCATAACCTGCCGTACAGTGGGTACGGAAAGTATTCAGACCCCTTTAAATTTTTCACTCTTTGTTTCATTGCAGCCATTTGCTAAAATCCAAAAAGTTCATTTTATTTCTCATTAATGTACACTCAGCACCCCATCT